AGCCTTCAATAAGTCCTGTCTTGAATCATACAAATTTGATGGACCCCAAAGGATCTGTTAAATGCAAGAACAAAAAACTACTGTAAGAATCACTGCTTGCTATAAAACTTCATGCCCTCTTGGCATATTGCTTTCATGTTCCCTAACCAGCCTGGAGCAGCATTCAGAAAATCATCTACACCAGCTACTTCAACCAACTAGTCACATGATACTGGTTCTCCTTGTTTCATTAAAAGAAGTTAAAAACATATTAGGAAAGCATCTGATATTACTGTTAGGCCCAAAAAGAAAAGTAGGAGAAAGGGGGAGTTAAGAACATACAAAGAACAGAAGCAGGGAGTGGAGGCAGTATGTCTCCTAATCTATCTTCTGAGCACACTGTTCTTAGCACATCTGGTATGGGAATGCAGCTCCCCGCTTATCTCACTTTTTTCAGCTCAAACAACTATGTCTTCGATTCTGCCCGGAGATTACCCAGAAACCTCTGTTGGCCTAATTCTGGTTAGGTTGGCATAACTGCTCTACAACTTTTCTTTTTGGGCCTAACATTACTTTCCTATGTGGGCAATTGCTATTAGAGCCACAAACAGGAGTGGAGGTGGTGCATGTGTTCACAGATTGAAGGAGATGTGTCCTCAAAACAATCTCTTTATTTTATGGTCCACTCTATGAATAGCTGCTAATTTTTGTAATGATGGACGCCATATAACTACCTAGATTGTTCAGAAAGTTTGAGAAGCTTTCTATAATCAAGTTTCTCAAAGGTTTTGCAAGAGAAACCGTTGCTTTTTAATTTGCCAAAAATGCCCTTTTTTAATGCTCGGGTTTTTAAGAACCTCAAAACACACCTGAAAACAGTTGGACATGATGTATGATAAGTAGCGTTGGATGAATTCCTGGAGATTTCACCACATGACATAATCTTTAATTAAAGATTAATCTTTAATTCCTGCAGACTCCAGTACAATCCTGGAGGGTTGGCAACCTTAATGATACGATGTACTATGGCACCAGAATCAATGTTAAATGTGAGATTTACTGACAGTAAATAATCTCAAAATTTTATTCCACGTATCACAACAGTTGGTGTTTTTTCTCAAAAATCCTGGATTTTTGTGATTATGTGAAAATCTCAGCCTTCTTTTTATTTTTTAAAATGTGTTTCTAGTGCTCATGGTTGTGGATAAAAGGTTGAAAATGTGCCCCAAGTGAACCCTACAGGCTCAAAGACCAGAAGGCAAATAAAAAGCACCCTAAATGTATTTTTAATCTCATGATTTTTAAACCAATCTCATGATTTGGGGGGGCGTGACTCATAATTTTTGAATGCTTGGGGTTGGCGATACTCATGTTATAATGTATGATGTATTACAGAAAGCTGCATGCATGATAATTCAGAACCTACGTTAGGTGTTCTACTGCCCTTGTCCTGCTTCCTGGGTTTCTTGGTAATTAATGTCTTAGTATGTTAATTCCCCAAGAATTGTACTGGGATAACAGCTAGTATAATCTTTCAGAATGAGGTTTTTATTAATTTTAAATGATGTATTGTTAAATGACAATCAAAGATGTTTTCTCAAAACTTGCTTAAAAGGCTGATTGTAAGATTTTGCATGCATTACTTCCCACAGAAGCTTTAGTTTGTGGTGATCAGTGTCGGTACAGTATTGTGTAGCTAGCACGAGAACAGTAAAGGACACTTAATTAGAGTGCTTATTAGCTGAAACTTTGATATTTTTGTCCTTTTTTACTAAATAAAAGCAAAACCTGAAAGATACGGCTTGATATTTGTCTAGTTTAATTTTTAACTTAGATGTTATTGGTTTTTAAATATTGCACAATACATCTTTTTCAAAATACAGTTCACAAAAATAGTTTAAAAAAAACCAATTCCATTTCTGGCAAAGAAATGTAGAATGATGAAAAAGTAACAGGGAATATAGTCCTCTCTTAATACTTTTCCTCAGAAATTGCCATATACATTAGTAGGGTGACTAGATGTCCCAATTTTAAAGGGACAGTCCCGATATTTGGGGCTTTTTCTTATATAGATGCCAATTACCCGCCACCCCCGTCCCGATTTTTCACACTTACTATCTGGTCACCCTATATATTAGGCTATGCTTGTGTCTGTCCTATCGTGTATACACCCTATTCCCCTCTGTGAGATGGACTATCCAATATGATCTAATGTTTTTATGATCCTGTCCTCCTACAGTCTGTAACTATTACAGAATACGAGTCTAACACTGTTACACAAGTGTGGGTGTTTCAATGGCACTGTGCTTTACACACGTCCCCATGAGTGGGCTCAGATTCCCCCTCTTCCAATGAACTGCAACCCCCGTTTTCCTTCCCCAGGTGAGCCACTGTGACATCTAGGTTAACAGCAGAAAGGGGAAAAGTGTGGAGTCTTTGCATGTGACTCTGGGAGCAGTGCAGGAGGCCATGAGTAGAGAGGGGGCAAGAGCAGGGCCGATGCAACCCATTAGGCGACCTAGGCAGTCGCCTAGGGCGCTACAATTTGGGGTGCGGCGACATTTCGGCGGCGGGACCTTCTGCCGCCTCTGTGGGGGGCAGCATTTCGGGGCGGGACCTTCTGCCGCCCAAGCTGGCGATGCTCCTGGGCAAGAGTGTTTGCAAGTGGGGCTGGGTGGGAGGTAACAGGGCACGAGAAAGAGCCCTTGCATGTGGCGTGACAGGGCAGACAGATGGAGGCGATAGTGGGAGAAGAAAAAGAATGAAGAGCCTTTGGCTCTGTCTACACCACAGCGGTGCCCCTGGAGCGCCATAGCGCAGGCACTTCCAACATGGGTGGAAGGGCTTCTCCCACCGCTGTGGTTAATCTGGCTGCGCCAGAGGGTTAAGGCAACCTTACAACAGAGCACAGGGTGCAAAATGTTTCACTGCCCGGAGCCATGCAACTAGGGCAATCTAATTTTTCAGTGTAGACCAGGCCTTTGTACGTGACTGGAGGGGGGGGAGGCAAAAGTGTGAGGGGAAGAAGGTGTGAAGAGCCTTTGCACGTGGCCCCACACAAGGCGGAGGTGGGGGAACAAGGGTACCACAGGGACAGGCAGCAGCTTTGCCCCCTAGCCCCAGGGCAGGGTGAGAAGGGAGCCCTGGGAGCAGCTGTGGTAGGCCGCGCGGGCTCTTTGCACACGGCCCTTCGGGGAGGGCTCAGCGGCGCTAAAGTCAGTTGGGATGTAAGGCGGGAAAGCCTTTGCACACGGCCCCCTGATGGCAGCAAGGAAAGACGGGGGGAGAAAGGCGGTTACGATGCACACGGCCCCCGTTCCGAGGAAGGCGCGCGCGTCAACAGCGTGAGAGGAAAAGGCGGGAAAGCTGTCAGCGCGCGGGCAAAGGGGAGGTGCAGGGGACGGTTGCTGCGCGCGCCGGCCCAGGGAGCGGCGGCGGCCGGCCAGCATTAGGGCGGCCAGGCAAGGGGGGGATCTTTTCCGGGGCCAGCGCACGCGGCGGGTTGCGCCCTATGAGGCGGCTCGGATTACCCCCCTCATCCAACGAGTTGCGACCCTTGTTTCCGCGCCCCCCCCCGCACCCATGGGTCTCAGTTTCCCCACTGGCCCCAACTCCCCTGGTTTCAGGCCCCCCACTCCTGCCCCACCCCAGCTGCTTGGGCGCTGCAGAGGCCCAGCTGGGGGGGCTGTACTGCCTCTTTCCCTTGCCCAGCTGCACATCCCCACCTCCGTTTTGGCGAGGGCAGCGTCTGACGCCAAAGGAGCCCTTTAAAGGAGAATCCCAGGTCGTAAGGGCACGTCCGCCCTACAGCGGCACAGCTGCGGGTAGCACCGTAGTGTGGCCATGCCCTATGTTGATGGGAATGGGCTCTCCGCATCGGTGTGGGTAATCCAACTCCCTGAGGGGAGCTAGCTAGGTCAGCGGAAGAATTCTGCCAGCCTGTCCAGGGCTGGGCACGGATGGCTCTGTTGATCTAACTAGAGCGCTTAGGGTGTGAAATGTTTCACGGGCCTCAGCGACATAGCTAGGATGATCTAATTTTTAAGGGTAGACTAGACCTAAGGCCACAACTACACTAGGAGCCCGGTTACTGGCTTACTACGCTGGCAAAGCAATTCTAGGGCTGGACCACACTTGAAACGGTACAGCGTAGATCAGTGGTTCTCAACCTGTTTATCGTTGTGGGTTTTATATGCAGCTGTCTGTGGTATATGGGTTGCATCCACACTATATACTACCTGTGTGGCCCTGAGGATGTTGCATGGTCCGCAGCTGTGTGCTGATTGGGCTGCAAGCAAGACACGGGTTGAGAAACACTGGCATAGATGCTACTTATGCTGACGTTCTCCTGTTGGCATAGGTAATGCGCCCCTCTGAGGAACAATAGCTAGGTCCACTGAAGAATTTTTCCATCAACCTAGCACTGTCTACACATTGACCTAGATTGGCTTAACTATGTCACTCAAGTGTGGATTTTTCAAACTCCAGAGTGATGTAGCTGAGTTGAACTAATTTTCTAGTGTAGACAGCACCTAGTGTGGATGCAGCTACACCGGCACAGCTGTGTTTTGTACCGTTAGTAAAATCATCTCCCCTGAGCAAAGCAAGCTATATTGGGAAAAGTGCGTTTTGCCAGTATAGCTGCGTCTACGCTAGGGAATTCTGCCTGCGTTCATTGCACCCTAACTGACATAGTTATGTCAGCAGAAGTGTGTACCGTTAACCAGGCTAAAGACTGTAGATCTTTACTCTGTGAGTGATCCTCATTCACATAGGTAGTCACACTTAAATCAATGGGATTACGTACATGAATAAAAATTGTTCATGTGAGTAAAAGTTTGCATTTAGGCTCCTGACTTGCATTGATTTCAATAGAACCTAGGAGCCTAAATACCTTGGTAGATCTGGGCCTGTGTTCTGAAAATTGAATGGACTGGATCTACATGTGTATGTGTCATCAGAGTGCAAACTAACCATGCTAACGTCCCAATTTTATTAACAGATAGGAAAAGACTGACAATATGGCAACTGCCCAGATGCAAAGAAATTCTATGGTATGGTTCCATTTATTTCAGTGTATTTTTGGCACACTTGATTGCAGCAGTCAGGAATATAAAATAATTATTTTTAGGACTGTTTTATTGCCCAGAATTACCCCTGCAGCTAATTACACTTGAAAAGAGTATTTCACATTCATATAATTTGTTCCTGTATAAACAGATGATGTTATTCAGGAGTAGTTCTTATTGCCATAAGTAGTCTCATGGAACACAGTTGTAAAAGATCACAGGGTTCAGTTAAACACTAAGGTCCTGATACTGCAAAGAATTAAGCATGTACTTTATGCACAGTGAATCTTCACATTCAAGTCAATAGAACTATTTACAGTGCAAAAAGTTAGTGTTACTCTTTGCATGATTGGAGGCTATCATAATGTGATAGTGATGATGTTCAACAAGGCAAGTGAACAAGAGAAAGATGGAGATTATTTGTTGAAAAATGCTTCATGTTAGTTCCTTTAACATTAAAATAAAATAAAATAAAATTGGTAGACCTGTGTACATTTGGCTAGTGAGATAAGACATTTTATTTGTTTTCAATATTTGAAAGGCAAGTGAATGAAAATAAAACCCCCTGTATGCTGGAGATTAATTCCTCTCTCTTTCTCTTTTAATTTTAGAGTGCAGTAATATTTCCTAACAAAATACGTACTGAACAGCAGTCTTTGATATTGGTGAAGAGACTCCTAGCAGTAGCAGTATCCTGCATTACTTACCTAAGAGGAATTTTTCCAGAATGTGCCTATGGAACAAGATATCTAGATGGTAACATGCTGTTTCTGAGATTCCTTTGATATAAAATATTTCTCTGTTCTTGTGACAAAGAAATTTAGAAAGCTTATTTGAGCTAACTTAATTTAGTGTTGTATCTGTACTTTAGTGTTGTAATTTAGTAATTTGTAATTTAGTATTGTAGCTGTACTTTTCTAACTAAAATTTGTTTGTTTCAGACCTCTGTGTCAAAATTTTGAGGGAAGACAAAAACTGTCCTGGGTCCACTCAGTTGGTGAAATGGTATGTTGATTCTATAGCATTCATAACATTATTATAACATGTCAAGTCTGAAAATTAGCTCTCTAGTCAAAGAAAAATTGTTCACTCACTGTTAGTGAGTACTGGTCATTTGATGTATTTACTGTTTTGTTATACAGACTTTGCACATTGAAAAATCAGAATTTATACATTTCAGTACCATGCGATTGGCTTAACTTTCACATTTGGTTTTATGGAAAGATTTACAATCTTGGGACTCATATTAGCAAGGTATTTAAGCATGTTTGTGACCTGAAACATGTGAGTAGTCTTTTTGAAGCCAATAGGATGAGTAACATTTTAAGTTATGCACATCCTTAAGCATCCTGCTGAACTGGGGCAAAACAAATTGTTGCAAAAATTATTTTCATGCCAAGAATGTGTGTCCCTATATCCACTGTTGCCTGTTCTCACGGTTCTCTCAGGACCTGATTCTTTGTTGCTCTGTGTTGTAGTCATTTTTTCCAGTACAATGTGGATGTAAAATGCTACCAAATCAGAATAGTAGTCCTTTATGCTCACTTTTCACTGTTATAAATGACTGCCCAAAGTGCCCTCATTCTTTAGTGGTCGAGGTTGGGACACAATATTTTCATTAACATTACATCTATTGTATTTTTCTAACTTTTAAATTTGAGGATTATGTTCTCAAGCTTGACAAAAAAGAAGAGTTCAGTTTTTAAAAATCTGTAGCTGAATATGTATTAGTAAGTATCTTGTATATCTTGTGTAAGACTGGTTCTTATTCTTTTCTTCTAATGTTCCATTGGGTTATGGTAAAGTGTATGGTAAATTGATGAGTTCTTGGCTACTTATATATTTTGGTATCTCTTTAATTACATTTTACGTAAAAAATATGCAAAAGCTTTTAAATAAACCTACCAAGACTAAAAATTATATTGGTTTTGTGCTTAAAAGATGCATAGACTTAAGTGAAATAGTTAAACTCATCAACTGATTTATGAACACATGTTAAAAAGTGTTTGATACTGGCAGGCATACAATTTAATTAAATTTGTACTTGTTCTGTAAAGAGCCTGGTATGTTTTTGGAGGTTGCAAACATTATAGTTAATTGTGTCTATTAATACAAATAAAAAGACAAAACTAATGGAATAAGCATTATTTATTACTTCTGTATTTCATTATATAAAATTGTATTGTATAAAATTAAGAAGTATAAACACAAGAATTTCGTTTTCATAGAATCATAGAACTGGAAGGGACCTCAAGAGGTCATCTAGTCCAGTCCCCTGCACTTGTGGCAGGACTGAGTATTATCTAGACCATTCCTGACAGGTGTTTGTCTAACCTGCTCTTAAAAATCTCCAATGATGGAGATTCCACAACCTCCCTAGGCAATTTATTCCAGTGTTTAACCATCCTTCCAGTTAGGAAGTTTTTCCTAATGTCCAACCTAAACCTCCCTTGCTGCAATTTAAGCTCATTGTTTCATGTCCTATCCTCCCAGGTTAAGAAAAACAAATTTTCTTCCTCCTCCTTGTAACAACTTGTTTTTTACATACTTGAAAACTGTTATCAGTCTTCTCTTTCCAGACTAAACAAACCCAATGTTTTCAATCTTCCCTCATAGGTCATGTTTTCTAGACCTTTAATCGTTTTTGTTGCTCTTCTCTGGACTCTCTCCAATTTGCCTACATCCTTCCTGAAATGTGGTGCCCAGAACTGGACACAATACTTCAGCTGAGGTCTAATCAGAGCGGAGTAGAGCAGAAGAATTACTTCTCGTGTCTTGCTTACAACACTCCTGCTAATACATCCCAGAGTGATGTTCGCTTTTTTTGCAACAACGTTACACTGTTGACTTATATTTAGCTTGTGATCCACTATGACCCCCAGATCCCTTTCCGCATTATTCCTTCCAAGGCAGTCATTTCCCATTTTGCATGTGTGCAACTGATTGTTCCTTCTAAATGGAGTACTTTGCATTTGTCCTTATTGAATTTCATCCTATTTACTTCAGACCATTTCTCCAGTTTGTCCAGGTCATTTTGAATTTTAATCCTATCCTCCAAAGCACTTGCAACCTCTCCCAGCTTGGTATCGTTCACAAACTTTATAAGTGTACTCTGTATGCCATTATCTAAATCATGATGAAGATATTGAACAGAACTGGACCCAGAACTGATCCCTGTGGGACCCCCTCATTATGGCCTTCCAGCCTGACTGTGAACCACTGATAACTACTCTCTGGGAACAGTTTTCCAACCAGTTTTGCACCCACCTCATAGTACCTCCATCTAGGTTGCATTTCCCTAGTTTATGAGAAGGTCAAGATATACCACGTCTACTGCTTCCCCCCCATCCACAAGGCTTGTTACCCTGTCAAAGAAAGCTACCAGTTTGGTTTGACATGATTTTTTGTTTTGTTTTGTAGGAATTTTTATGTAATCAAAAGCAAATCAAAATGGTAATTAGTAATAGACAATATTATTTGATTTTTACAGGATGTTAGGATGCTATGATGCTTTGCAGAAAAAATATGTAAGTCTTCCAGCATAATTTTGTTATATTTTAATATACTGTAACGTTGTGCATTTGTATACTTCTAATAGCTGCCTCTTGTGGTTTTGGGGCTGCTGTTTACAAAATAACTGCAATTTAGCCAGATGTGAAAATTAATGGCAATTCCAGGTGCTCAGCATCTCACAGGATGTGGCCCATAAGTCTTGATGGTAAAGACTTCTGCCCAGTTTATACCATCTGAGGATTTGGCACTAGATGTCTGAGATATGACTTTGGAAAAATTTCTAATGCCCTGATTCAGCAAAGCACTGAAGTCAATGGTACTTAAGCGTCTGC